GAGAGGTCTGGAGTCGCTCATGGCGGGTAGCCCCCATGACTGTCCTGTGCCCGTCCGCCCTGCCCTAGGGGCCAGCCCCTGTCTAATCACACCAGTTCAGGACCCCAGCAGCTCCACCCGCGCCCCCAGCACTCTGACTCCGGTCCCCAAACCGGTCTTGCAGGTCCCAGGAAGGTGGCGTCAGCATCTGCAACCGCGTCGACAACGTTGTCGGAGCCTCCGCGAAGGACCCAGGAGAACCGGACTAGGACCAAGGTGCTGGGCCTCCCCTCTTTCCCAATGGAGAAGTCAGCAGCCTCAACAGAGCTTCAAGGGCCACGGCCAGTCCTGGGCCGTGAAAGTGTCCAGGTGCCGGACGACCAGGACTTCCGCAGCTTCCGGTCAGAGTGTGAGGCTGAGGTGGGCTGGAATCTGACTTACAGCAAGGCTGGCGTGTCTGTGTGGGTGCAGGCTATGGAGATGGATCGGACTCTACACAAGATCAAGGTAGGGGTGCACTACTGCACCTGCAGCCTCCACCACACTTTACTGCCTCATCCCAGGGTCTCCTGTTCTTGCTGAAGGGCCACAGACCCCTGGGGGGTGCATCTTGGCCCAGAAAGAGTCTCCTGCCAGGAACTAGGAGGAGGCATGGTCTACTGGGCCAAGTCTCCATTATACAGATGGGCCAACTGAGGCCTGGAAAGGGGATGTGACCCACTCTGGCTCACTCAGTTGAAACCAGGCATGCCCCTTTTTGCTGAGGAGGGGGACTGCTGCTAGGCCTATCCAGGAGAGTGGTCTCCCCCAGGGACCCCTCTGTCCAGCAAGCCTCCGCTTGGCCCCTGAGTTGAGTCACCCCAGGCCAGAGACTGACCCCCTTTTCTTCCTAATTCCTGGTTCTCAGCCTGAGCTGGGTCTCCTCTCCTATTCTCTGCCTGATCTTTCCTGCCTGATCCCTTTCTCTCTCCCTTCCCTCCGTGGCAGCTCCTTGAGTCTCCAGCAGGGGCTCAGCATTGTGGCTGGCAGATTGTGATTGTCAGATCATGAAGGCAGGGCTTTGATGTCCCTACTTTGCATTGGGACAGGCTGGGGTGGGCTGGGGAAGCAGGGAACCTGTGGTCAGGTCAGAAGCCAGCTCAGAGGACAGTTGCAGACACAGCAGCCCCTCACAGGCACCCTCTCACTCCCCTGCAGCTTCATGGTTCTCTCTCAGTCATGAGGTAGACTTGGGGTATGATGGGTAGATGGGACAGAGGCTGAAGACCCTGGTGTAGGGGCCACAGTAACTTTCCTGACACCTGTGGTGTTGCTTTGAGTAACACATTTTGAGGGTGGGTAGATTTCCCTTCAGGGGGCTTCTTGCTTCCTTTCCCTTGCCCTCTTCTCCCTTTGACCTGGAGCATGTGGAGGAGTACATTCCTGTTGCCAGGGGCCAGGACGATGGTCTTTTTAGGGAGGACCCCTCCTGCCTGGGACCTAATCTTTGACTTCATTTGAGTATACTGCCTCACACCAAACTTGAGCTGTCTGACCTTTCCCTTCTGATCCTGTGCCTTTCTGCCTCATTTTGCCTTAATCATTTACTGCTTTGTCCATCTTGTCCCTACATGATGTGGCTTGCTCTTTCTGCCTTCTCTTTTCTCCTCCACAGCTCTCTGCTTACATCCTGGCCATCTGACTCTTTCTCTTTGTGTTTCCATGTGTGAGGGTGGGAGGGGGACAGCAAGAGGGGGTTCTGTCTGTTCCCAGGCTGGAGGACCCTGGGCTGAGATTTCTCAAATCCATGTCTGAACTGAGGAGCAGGGAAGGATAGGGCAGCTAAGAGGTTCTAGCTTGATACTGCCTGAGGCAGGAGGGACAGATTCTATCTTCCCCACCATCAGGGCAGGGATGTTTGTTGAAGGAAGGTGGAAGGAAGAGACTAAGGAACAAAGCTAATGAAAATTGAGTAAGGTGGATACAAGGGAGCCTGATTGTGACCTGAGAAGGGCTTTTGGCTGGTAGTGCTCAGGGAGGTGGGAAAGTGTAGTTTCTTCACTAAGGTTGGTTCTGGGGGACTCCCACCCTCTGTCAACAGGGTGGAGCTGTCTCCTCCATCTGGCTTGGTTAATCAGTAAACCCAACTCAGCCCAGAGTTGGCAGGTCTGGGGGCCAAGTTGCCGCAGTAGACCCCATGTGACCAGGTCAGACTTGTCAGGTGGCCTTCCTTGGGGGTGGAAGTCTTAGAAAAACTGGGATGTTCTGGGCAGGGTGTATACCCTGGCTCTACTTCCCTCTCAGACTGAGCAGAGGCTGGAGGTGCCAGAGGGGCCTTTGAAAGCCCTGTACACTGGGGTACAGGTAGTGAGGCCCAGAGGAGTCAGAAGCCAGCCCAGGGTCACACAGCCAAGTTCTAGCAGAGCTGGCTTTGAGCCCAGATGTGCTAGCCTCCCAGTCCTCCCTGTCCCTTACTTTTCTCCTCATGCTGCCCCCAGCTCTTTTCCCTGCAGTAGAGGAGGTGAGCAGAGCCTAGACCTATGGAGGAGACTAACACCTTGGTTATAATCATCCCCAGGGCCAGCCCCCCTTCCTTTCCTTTCAGCATAGCAGATGGAACTCTGGGAGCTAGGCAAAGGCCTCTTTGAGCTACCCATCCCCAAGATTCCAGGACTCTCAGGTGCCATGCAGCTAATCCTATTTCTGATAAGAGCTCCTTCTCTGAGCCAAGCATGTTTCTCCTTCAACTAATTCACCCTCAGGCAAGTCCTGGGCAGTAGTAGACTTGTTGCCTTGTTACAAAGAAACTGAGGCTAAAAGAGAAGATGTCCTTTGCCTAAGGTCATACAACAGTTGAAGCAACTGGCTCCACAGCCTCTGCCCCTCTGTGCATAGGCTCACATCATTAGGCAACATCTGGCCTTTAACCCCGTCAATAACTCTTTGAAGAATCAAGAACACAATGTTCTCATCATCCCTTTCTTGTTTGATAGATGACAAAGCTGAAGCCTGCAAAGGGGAGTGACTTGTCAAGGTCAGACAGCAGGTTGAAGCCAGAGTTCCAGGGATGACTGGGTCACCCCAGGAGGCTTGGACTCAACTGCAGGTGTTTGTTGAGCTTTGTTCCTCTCCTCTCTCTTCTCTCTTGTCCCAGCCAGCTGCCCCTAGACATGCCCTGTGTTCATAATGGAAGGGGAAAGGCATGTGTGTGGAGAGGTCCATCTACTTATTTACTTGATTGATTTCCTTCTCTTCTTCCTACCCCGGTGTCCAGAGGTCCCTGGAAGCCATCACTTGGCTCTGGGCCCAGCAGTTGGAACCAGGACAAAGGAAAGGGGCTGTTGGAGGCCACTTTCACTCTTCCCTTTTTCTGATTTCCATTCTGGCCTGGCCCCAGGCCTGTACCATACTCTAGGTACTGGACAGGAGTCAGATACTGCCTCCTGAGAGTTCAGGCCTTGTACCAGAGGCAGACACTGAACATGGATCTTGTGTACAAGGCAAAGAGCTGCTTGGAACCTGAACCCGAACCCAGGTCTCTCAAATGCCAGGCTTGCTCCCCCATGGTTCCCTTAGAGGTATAAGAAACGAAAACCTAGAGATTGTGTCCATCATTCAACTAGGGCCATCTGGGGAACCAGTATTAGCTATGGTGTCCTCTTGCCAAGTGTGACTGTGGACAAGTTCCTGCCTATCTCTGGACCGTTTGTCCATTTGTGCCAGTGGGCCCTTCTGACCCCAAAGACCTCTGAACTCAGTGCCTGGGTCAGGAAGGAAGGTGGAAGGACGGGACTAAGGAACAAAGCGAATGAAAAGTGAGACGAGGAGCAGAGGGCAGATAGCAGATGACATGGCCTGCTCAGTCTGGATGCCATGTGCTCAGGGCCCTTTATTTCTGCTGTATGCCTAGCCTTGTGCATGGCTAGTCATGTGAGGAGGCAGAGGATGAGAACTGGGCCTTTCCAGAGTCTGCTAGAGAGGGAACAGAAAATTCCAGGTGACCCTTGCCTACCACACAGGGTACATATTCACAGGCTACTCAGAGGCAGGGCTGGGGCCTGGTGGGAGTTCATACCTAGGACGGGTGCTGGGTGCAGGCTGGGTTGGAGGGCCCTTGAGAGCTTGGTTCTAAAGCAGGTGTGGGATATCCCTTGTGGGAGTGTAGCAGAGAACCTGAAGTTCCTCTTGCCACAGGAAACTGGGCAGTGGGGACCTGTTTTCACTGACTTCCTGTCTGCAGCCCCTCCCCTTCCCCTTTTAAGGAAGCTGTAGTGGTCCCCTTTCAGCCCTGTCTCACTGACCACCTGCCCCACATCACCGGCTCTCTGAACTCAGTGCCTGGACCAGGAAGGAAGGTGGAAGGAATGGATTAAGGAACAGACTAAGGAAGGGACTAAGGGTTCCAAACTCAAGCCAGTGCTCAGGTCTTACTCCCTGCTCCCTTCCCTTCGGTGCCTCTGTGAAACACAGCTCACTCAGGGATCTCCAAGGGCCCTTCTTACTCTTAGCCAGTGGGCCCTGCTGCTTACTCTTACTTCTTATTTTTACAGTCTGAGACTTAAAATTGTGTCTTGGGGAAGGCAGGGCCAGGGCCAGGACTCTTTGCAACTGTCCTACAGGGTATGGTTATTAGCTTCATCAAACAAGCATGGAAATTGAGGCTCAGAGCAGGAATTCTCATGTGTAAGGCCAAACAACTAGAAGTGCCTCAAGTTGGGTCAGAACCAGGTCCTTGGATCCTTAAGGCTGAGTTCCCTTGGCAACTTGGGTCTAGTTATTAGTGTGGTTAGGCCTTTCTCTCTCCGGACCTGTGGCTCAGAACTTATCTTTCCCTTCATCCTTGGGTCACCCTGTGCTGTGTCACTGTGGGAGGGCACCCTGGAGGGCTCCCAGCTGGGCAAGAGCCTACTTCTTACTATGTGACCTTGGGGGGGCCATTTTACTTTCCTGGGTCCATTTTCTTTTGTTCTATTATTTTATTTTTTTCTCCTGGTGCTGGGGATTGAACCCAGGAACTCACTGGTGCTAGACAAGTGCTCTGCCACTGAGCTACATCCCAAGCCCTTTTTTATTTTTATTTTGACAACAATGTCTCACTAAGTAGTCCAGACTGGCCTTAAACCATGATTGTCCTGCTTCAGCCTCCCAAGAAGCTGAGATTATAGGTGTGTGCTAACATGCCTGGCTGGCTTTATTTTCTTATCTATGTGGCAGGGGCAGGAATTAATCTGATTTTAGGGCCTTGGAGTATATGAGTTCAGGTCCAGGCTTGGCCTCTGCCCTCTCTGGGGCTCATTTTTCTCATCTCTACAGAAAGTTTCTGGGCAGGAGCTTTGTAGAGACTTTTTTTTTTTTTTTTTTTTTTTTTTAAAGAGAGAGTGAGAGAGGAGAGAGAGAGAGAGTGAGTTTTTAATATTTATTTTTCAGTTCTCGGCGGACACAACATCTTTGTTGGTATGTGGTGCTGAGGATCGAACCCGGGTCGCACGCATACTAGGCGAGCGCGCTACCGCTTGAGCCACATCCCC